TTGTACAGCTATTTTAGAAATCAGCATGGCAGTTTCCAAGAAAATTGGAAATCAATCTAACTCATGACCCAGTGATACCACTCTTTGGCATTTACAAGGACACTTGCTGGACAATATTCATAGCAGAATTATTCATAACAGCTAAAACATAGAAAAACCTTGATGTCCTCAACCAAAGAAAGGATCAAGGATTAGGAAAATGTGGTACATTTATACAGTGGAGTACAACTCAGCTGTAAAAAAATGATGACCTCATCACGTTTTTCAGGTACATGGATGGAACTAGAAAAAAAAAAAAAACCATCCTGAGTGAGGTTATCCAGACTCAGAAAGACAACCAGTGTATGTATTCACTCATAAGCAGATATTAGGTATACAGCAAAGGATAACCAGACTACATTCCATAGCTCCAAAGAAGCTAAGTAACAAGGAGGGCCCGAAGAAATCTATGGAGTAAATTGCGGTGTGAGGGAGGTAATGGGGAGAGTAGAGTGATTAAGAATATTAGGGTATGGGGTGATCAAAGAGAGGGAAAGATGCTGTGGAAGAACAATGAAATAGATAACTTAATAGAGAGAGCCACTATGGGATTAGGGAGAAACCTGGTGCTAGGGTAACTCCCAAAAACCCACAAAGAAGACCCCAGTTAAGATTCCTAGCAATAGTAAAGAGGATTCCTGAACTGGCCATCTCCTGTAATCAGATTGGTGCATACCCTAACTATCATCATGGAGCTTTCATCCAGTAATTGATGCAAACAGATGCAGAGATCTACAACCATGAACCTGGCTTGGCTCTGGGAATCTAATGGAAGTGAGGGAGGAAGGAATACATGAGCAAGGTAGGTCAAGACCATGATGGAGAAATCTACAGAGACAGCTGAACCAACATTGTGAAAACACATGAACTCTAGACCTACAATTGTGGAGACTCCAGGATACCAAACTAGACACTCAGTACTTGGGAGACAGTTGTGAAGCTTGAACTAGCTTAGGGGCCACTGGCAGTAGGACCAAGATACAAACCTGGTCCATGAGCTAGCTTGTTGGAGCCCACTCTATATGGTGGGATGCCATGCTCAGCCTTAAAGCATGAGAGAGTGGCCCGTTCCTGCCCCAATCTAATGTGCCAGACTAAGTTGACTCCTCATGGGAGTCCTTATCCATGAGGAGGGGTGGACTTGAGGTGGGCTGGGGCAAGGCGAGGCTGAAAGAGGTGAGAGGTTTTAGGGACAGGTGTGGGAGGAAGAACTGTGGTTAGATGTAAAATGAAATTTAAAAAAAATAAAAAAAAAAAGAAAATCAAACATATGGAAACATTCCCGCTTTGCCCTCAACAATTAAGTGTGGCAATATATTGTCTATTGTTGAGGTTTTCATGCAGTTTTCTCAATCTAGGATATGAAATTCAAAAATTCGCATTGTAAGGAAGGGTACAAGAGAAACCTCTGAAATGACCAATCCATGAGTGTGAAGATTTTGTATTTTTATATGGAAAAGACAATAGCCAGAGGTGTTTGGGGAAGTTCAAAGTAGCCATGGCTAGTTCTCTGGGGCAGAGAGGAGAGGGGTCGACTGGTAATAGCCCGTGCTATCTCTCTGGGATCAGAGAGAAGCATGGGCACAGGGAAAAACCTGAGGTATAAAGGAAAACCCTTAGGTGAAGAGTAAGGGAGAGGGCTGCATGCCTTTGGTATGCACCACAGGTACATGCCAGCAGAGAAGTGGCTGGTCCCGGCAGATGGAAACCTGAGGAATGATGAGGGTGAGCAGCAGCAGTCTTTCCATAGTCCATATAGAGCTAAGCCCAGGCTGTCATTTTGGGGTTCCCTTTGGACCTGACACCTGTGTCTAATAAATATTCTATAGCTTTCATGTGTAATAAATTAATAGCTAATTTTTGGCCTGGTATTGGAGTGATGTCTTCATTATCCTATGAGCTTGGTGTGTGGGGGCTTCTAGTACAGTGTACTCTTACTGAAGGAAAATGGAGGCCACCTTGGTTTGGTTCAGCTCGTAAAGGTCTCTTCTGTGGTATAGCACATAAATGAAGAAGATAAGTGTAGCATTCCCAGGTGCATGTTGAGAGCAGAGGCAAACATGATCTGTTTGTTTGAACTTCAGGTCTCTCTTCTGTTGACTTTCTCAGTTAAATACATGATTCAGAGGGATCGCTGCTCAGATACAACCATGCGAAGGAGACACTACTGAGATGTAATGGTGAAGGGCAGGTGTAGGCTAGCCAGACCCTCTCTGCACAGACCTCCTTCATTGCTCTTCAAGGGGTTCCAGAGGCTTCAGTGGACAGTGTTCGAAAATCAGTCAGTGAGAAAAACATCAACATGTTAGTCCATTATTAAAAGAGTTTTTTAACGTAATTATTTTCAGTAGTTGGTTCTTGTGCAAGGTTAGAGGAAAAGTACAGATCATGCTGACAGAACAAAATCAATTTCCAACACTTGATCTTAACCAAAAGGCCAGAAGTGCTGAAAATCAATTTCCAAACTGATTTTTGGGATGCTTTTGTAATGTTTTGTTTCCTTAAAAATAAGGAAAGGACAACTCATTTAGAAAAAAAATAAGTTAGAGAAGTGAATAACACATCATTTTAAAATTATGACATTTTCCAGTAATATTCCCTTTGAAGTACATTAGCTGTTTTATTTTGGAAAAAACACATTTTTCCCTCTAGCTAGTATCTGGATATGTAGCTCATAGCCCAGGCAAACCTAAAATCACTATATGTACTAATTTGGCCTTAATTCAGCCTCCTCCTGCCTCAGTCTCCAAATGCTGGGACTAGATATTGATTTCAGTAAATAAAATAATTAATCTTTGTGTTGTCATCTATAATATGGAGACAGGAGAAATAAACTTAAGGAACTTTAAAATTTAGTTTGTAGATATTATCTTTAAGGAAAAAAACAATTATTTTCTTCATAAGTAATTACAGTGTTTTAAGTTTTAGGAATTCTACGAGCTATTTTAGTATTTGGTGACAAACTTACGTAAGTTTAAAAGTCCATTACTAGTATCAATTTAAACTTTAAATGTAGTTTACCTCTCAAAGCAGGAGAAGATAATAAAATGAATACTTAGCTAAAAATATTCTTGATTTCTTCTGTCTGGACTTTAAGCTATACAACAGATAAAGACTACACAAATTATTTCTTTATTTAAATTACAAATACCAGTTTGAAATTCAGATATTTAGTTCACTTTAGCTTAAGAAAGAGTTTAAAACTAGGTTTGTTCAGTTTCATAGAAAGTTCTTGACTGAAGTGGCATCCCCACAGGTGACACGGTCAGCTGGCTCCTTTCATTGTCCTACCCATAGCTCAAGCAGCATATTGAGCATTTTTTGTAAGCACTTATTGGAACCAGATACATTACCTTTGGCAAATCTTACAGAGGGACCTTGTTCTTGTTTTCTAGAATGCAGAATTGCACCATGAATAGTGATTGCAGTACTGAGAGTCATGGTTATCAGTAGATTGTCATTTCTTTAGAGACAGTGTAGTGATTGTTAGGAATGGTAGCAGGAGGTGGGATGGTGGCAGATCTCGTAGTGGGGGGACAAACATGCCATCAAACAGAACTTACATGGGAAGGAATTTTATCAGGAGAAGAAGGGAGTGGGGGAAGGGAGAGAAAGAGTGAGGGAAGAAGAGAGAGAAGAGGCAGGAAAAGTCTTGCCAGCCCCTTCAGAAGAACATCAGGAAAGAGAGAGTAGAAGTGGGTGGAGTTTGCCTCTTAAACAAACCTTTGCACCTGTGTATAGACTACATAGTGGCATAGCAGCCATAGGACCCTGGGCTGGCCAGGGTACTGCCTGAGTGCATCATGGGGGCAGGGTAGCATAGAATCCTAACAGTGATGTCACCTTTGATTTTAATCTGTTTGTTAAATGATCCACTGGACTTCCATCTTCCTTTCTGAGTTTGCTGTTCCTGCAGCTCTAAAGAGTGTGGTTTTATCAAACTTACTCTAGGGTAAGGGCCTGGTAAACAAATCTAATTCATAGACGTGCCCAGGTCTACCAGAGCCAAACAAGACAAGTGTACAAATCCATAGATAAGATGATTTAGGGCAAGAAAATCCAGTTTAATAGTCTGGAAAGGTACTAGTTGTGTGAGCATTTGTCCAAGTGAGGTTTAGATCACTGGCATCATAATCACCTGAGTTTTAATTGATGAGCCTATTGGACCTTGTTTACTTAATACCATTTTATTGTTCACTCTGTGCTCTTGTTCCATAATAAAGGAGAGCAATTGTGCAGGTGTTCTGTATCTGAACTCATTGGATGGCCTCTGGGAAGGAGCTGCCATAGACTAGACCTACATACTGTGGCAGCATACAGATGAGCAGGATCTGTTGGCTATTGAGGAAAGATCATTGTTCTTCCACACAACTTGGTACCCCATGGGTTATTTTCGCAGAAGCTGTGTTTTAAGGAAAACTTCACAACATGCAACTAACTCGTTTCATAAAGAACTTCCCCATTCAGGAGAAGTCTCTTTAAATATAAATTAGTGTTTGAGAATGTCAGCCTAGCTTAGAGCTGGTAACTTTTGTTATATAGAGACCCCCTTCCTCTTCCATCCCTTCTCCTCTCCTTTCCTTCCCCTTTTCTCATTCTTCTCCACCTTCTTCTTTTCCAATAGAAAAAATCTTATAAAAACAGTAATGCGAACACTTTTGTTTGAACTCTTACTCATTTTCTTTGATTATAATCCCTAGGTATACTAGTCATATTTCAGTAACCAGTACTGTATGTTATCGTAATTTACTCAAAGATATGATTTGGATCTTCATAATTTGTTGAAACTGAATTTGGTTTAATATGAATGTCTACTGCTACTTTCATTTGGAAATTGAATTGCCTGTGTTGTATGTGTACAGTTTTCTCCAGAAGGAAGAATTTCCTTGGGGGCATTGTTTTATTACTTTCACATTCCTGCCTGCTCTGTTGAGTCTAATGGGGTTTTATCTGTCCTTTAGGTGACCTACAAGCAAGATCTGTATGCAGCTGAATCAATGATTAAGGGTATGTCTGACCTTGTGAACATCAGCACTTGTGTTTCAGGAAAAGTGAGCTAGCCATTTTAGGAGGGCAGATGCCCAGAGGCCACTGAGGTCTCTGATTCTTATTTTGAAAATAATTGCATTTTATTTTGTTTCCTGCTTGTGAAATACCACTTATTTTGCTGAATTAATTTTAATTTTTATAAAAGATGTTAACTTATTAAGTGTGGAGCATCAATATTATCAGAAGGACAACAGTAGAAACTGATATTCCAATAAAAATTATGAAGGTCCCTCTGTTTTAAAAACTGTCCTGTCAGATCACTGGGGATGACCCTCCATATGCCAGTTTACTCAAGTTAAGAAAATTGGCAAGATAATTGGTAAAACAAACAAACAAACAAACAACAACTACAAAACAAAACAAAACAGAAAAGGAAACTTATTTTCCTAACAATGACTCTAGTATTTTTTTCAGCTTTAGTTATCATGTATTTGGCAACACTGCTTCCTTTCATCACTATACCCTTGAAGATCTCATGTAGTATATTTAATAACCATAAAGTGTTTATTTCTGTGCTGGGAATGTAACCAGCATACGCAAAGGCCATTAACTCCATTAACTCTGTGTTCCATGGGCTCTCTGTTAAACTTAAACATCAGAGTTTTCAAACTCTGCACAACACTAGCAGTACACGTCAGCTGATCCTTGCATTTCAGGCTTCAGGCTCTGAGCTACACCACAGAGATGACAACAACACTGTCCCCTCTCCTGAATTTGTCAAACATGACAAGGGATAAAGTTTCCCCTGCCTGAGAGCCCCTGTGTTAAACACCCGTTCTTAATCCCCAGTCTTAAACAACATTGATGCTCCTTCTGGCTCTGAGACAACAGGAAGCTGCTGACTATTTTCATCAAAATTAAAATGATATGCTCCAGTTTGGGCTGAGAAGTAAACTCTTAAATTCAGTCTCTTGCTGGGTGGGGAAGAGCAGTAGACCTAGATGCATAGTTTTGGTTTAGAGTTTTAGGAGAGCAGTTGGCCATCAGTTGGCCTCACATGTGGAAAGCGGAGCTTGCTCTTCTCTAATTGTGAGGCTGTTTGCAGTTATCCTCAGATTTGTTTCTCTTCAAGAGTATTTCGTTTCAAACCATTACTGTTATATAATTTGTTTCTGTGTTTGTAAAAAGTTAATCTATAACCATAAATCAAAATGTTGACATATGTTTACATTATCAGCCAGGCAATGTGTAAATATTTCTTTGTGAATGGCTGGCTGAGCCATACTGTGGCTGTTTATACCTTTAACACAAAGGAATAGAAAACTCAAATTTGATTTTATTTCCAAGTACTTTCTTCATTGCATAAGTAGAGTGGTGGTGTGATGTGAGCAGTAAGTAGTAAAGTGTCTCAACTTCCATTCTCCATGTTCTAAGACTTTCTCTACACATCATACATAGCCAGCACATATGCAAAAACAAGTAGTTTCTGCTTATTGTTTTCTTATCAGGTAATGGTTTCTACCATTGTATCTTCTAAGTGTTCAATTTTAATCTGAGAGAGTGATCTGCTTTGGCTAGGTGTAGCATTTCATTTAGTTGGAAACTTGTGAGCTTCCATATTCTTTAAGGCTTGTATTTCTAAGACCTCAATGGAGATTCTGATGTTTTGGGTCTACATAGATCTACATCTCTGGGGCCTTCATATTCTGTGTGTAGCCAGGCCAGCAGTCATGTGATTTCTTCACATCCTGAAATTTAAGTCTCCAGTACCACCCAATCTATTTTCATAAGATCCCCAGATAATTGTGTTGTAAGTCAATTTCAAGAGGCATTTTTCTAGGCTGCCCCTTATAATCTCCTGTAGGTCATATCTAGTGAACTTATTTTTTACTGCAGTACGTGTTTGGAATCTTGCTATATATAGTATTCCAACTCCAAATATATATTTCTTCATGCAAGATTACTGCCTTCGTCGTGACTTTTACTAAATGCCAATACTCATAATTGAAGTATCTTTAGAAACAGGAGAAAGAAAACTTTTGCAATTTTACTTTTGGATTTTTGAAGTTGTGAGCTGTAGCAGTACATGGCAGTATACACCTTTAATCCCAGTGCTGGTGAGACAGACAGGAGTATCTTCAAAGCTCACTGGAAACTCAGCCTAGGTTAGCTCAGGGTTAGTGAAAGATCTTGTCTCAAAAAGTCAAGTGGAGAGCAACTGATCATGACACCCAGGATCTGGCTTATACATACCTGCCCACCCACATGTACTCTTAACACACACATACATAGAAATAATTAAATCTAATGTGGTTAGCAGGAGTCTATTGAAGACTATTCTCAGCCTGTGCAGTTGAGTCAAACTTGTTTGGGAGAGAGCAGACTTGTGATTTGTTATCTTATATAAGCAATAGCCTCTGGGATTTCAGAAAGAATCTATTCTTGGGCAAGGGGCTTACAGGTTAGAGGCATTTTTGTTTTTTATCAGTTTCTTAGGCACAGTAATAAAACATAACTTTAGTCCTCACATTTCCAGGGCTTAAAGCAATATAATACACTGGTATAAATTGAGGAAGAGCTTCTGCTCACCGGTGGTAGGAAGATAGGCCAGAGACACAGATCCATGGAACTGCTTGCTACCACCCCAAGACTTCCTTTCAGAATTGTCCTCTAAGGTCAAGTTTATATTCTTCACTTACTGCAGAAAGAATTTTAGAAAAGTCAGTATTACACAGAATTTGGGTTTATATAAGTTTTTTTTTTTTTTTTTTTTTTTAGGTCATGGGTTAGAAGCAAAAGACTCAGGGAAGGAGTGTGAGCTTCTCATGTATTTGATGTCAGTGGGTTTTGAAGTTCCATCTTCCCAAAGTTGCTAAGGAACTTAAATTAGGTCATTGGGTGGTTCCTGAGATTTGCAGACAAAAGGATAGAAGGATGGATTTCATGGGAAGCTAGTTAAGATGTTTCCACTGTCAACAGAAGTTAATAGTCTTGCTTGTGAGATTCCCAGATAATATCTGGGAAAGGGATAAGGCAATATTTGGAGGTATATGTATGCCTGAAGCATGTTTCATTGCTATTTTATGATTCTTAAGTATCTGTATATAAATGAATATTATCTCCACATTAACAAACTTCAGAGCACATATCATTACTGCGCTGGAATTATTGATTCCCAACTGTTTTGAGTCTTCATCCAGACCTATAAGTGAGGCACACCTCTCCTTTTCCCTGTCTCTTATTAGTCTTCCCTGTCTTTCTAAGCTGTTGGTCCATGGCCTGCAATCTGCTAGCTAGAGGGCCAAGAAAGTTTGTGATAATGTTTCCATCAAAAACCAAAGTTCAGAGAGCCAGGATAACCATTATTATTTGCACTGAAACTGAGACCAAATGCAGACAATGGATGTTCCAGCTTCAAAGAGGGAGAATTCTCCCTTCTAGCCTTGCTGTCTTCCTGTTCTGATGAAACCTTGGGTGGACTGCATGCTACTGTCTCCATGTTGATGAGGCCATGCCTTTGTTTAGTCTGACCATTTTTGCTCACCCCTTCCAGAAACTCTAGCTCCCACACAGATACAATCAGAGCTTAACAGCTGTTTGGGCAGCCCTTTTCTCAGTCAAATTGTTGAATAAAATTAACAATCACATTTAATAAATGGTCAAAGTTGTTTTGTAGTTTATATATTTAGTTTATTTGTGCTTGGGATTGCATCCAAGAAATGATGGCCTTGAACATGCTGGGCAAGTGGCCTACAACTGACCTGTGTTCCCAGCCCTTTTGACATTTTTATTCTGATCTTGGGTTTTCTCTAAGTTTCCAAGGCTGTCCTTTAGTTTGCATTCCTCCTGTGTTAGCCTCTTGAGTGTAGGGGGTCACAGGCTTTCTTCATAATTTACTTATGTGCACAATTCCTACCCTATTGGGCTCTAGCTTTGTGCTGAGCAGTGTTGGAGCATTTTGTTTGTAGCTCTTTATTACCCCCAAATCAATGATGTAGAAAGTTTTATGACTTCAATATTATAATATATTCAAATGTTCTAGGTAACACCTTACTTGAGAATGATGGAAAATGAATTCTTAAACATAAGGCTGTGCCTTAGGCTCCTTGTTTCTCCTACCTTAAATAGATGCTCAGGTTCTCTATGTATGGGACCCATAGGCTAATGTTCAGAGGCTAATGCACATCGTTTCTCTAGGATAGTTTTTATTTATTCTTTGATAATTCCTACATGTATGAAATGCATCTTGGTCATACCTGCCCCAAACTTTCTATTCCACTCCCCTGGATACCTTAACAACACATCCCTGTATTCATGTTTATCTTCATGTTTCCTTCCCCCAATCCCATTTTTACTTTGTACAATTAGTGTTGCCTTTGGAATGGTTACTGATATTCTTTTTTATTTGTTTGTTTGTTCGTTCGAGGCAGGGTTTCTCTGTTTTGTTCTGACTGTCCTGGAACTCATTCTGTAAACCAGGATGGCCTAGAATTCACAGATATCCACCTGCCTCTGCCTCTATGAGTGTTGGGATTAAAGCCATGTGCCAGCACTGCCTGGTGACTGATATTTTTTATTTGACTTTGTATAGGGCTTGTGCAGGTAATTATAGCTACAATGTGTTCTGGAGTGTAATGTCTATCTTATGTCTAGAGATAGCATTTCATCTTTTGGCTCTCACATTCTCTTCTTTTTGCTTTCCAAGATGTTATGATGTAGAAGAATTGATATGGATATTCTATTTAGGGTGAACACTAATATTGACACTTAATATTAGGTCTTTGGTGAGTAATGATTCTCTGTCTTTCATTCTGCCCAATAATTCCAATGCCATTTCTGATCCAATATGGAATTCAGGAATCTCAGTGGAGTTCTCAATGTAGCAGGCCATATAAGTGAAATACACACATACATTCAATAATAGGTGTGAAGGGATCTCTCTAAATCCAACCTGTCAAACTTTCATGCCTTTGGATTAGATCTTTGCCATTAGCTGATCTTCTGGAGAATAAAGATCG